ACTCTGCGCCATCACCCTGAACTATAGGGTGAAGCCCTTTACAGAACATTATGAAGTGTTCAGCAGTTTCCTTCTCCTCTCCACACGCACTGCATACCGTGTCCACCCCTTCGTATTTGGTCCGATAAGTCTTGGTTCGCAATACTCCCGACCTGACCTAAAACAGTAGAGAACTACCCGAGAATTATCATAGATCCTTTCTTTGGCAATTTCCTGCTTAAATGTTCGATAGATATCTAGTGCCGACTTCTTAATCATGCCTTTTCTGCAAATGTCGGTCTCCTTTTTTTTTCAGACGAACAGACGCTACAGACGGACGGACGCTGCGTGAGATATGGACGCCATCTGGCAGTGATGTCTGGAAACAGGAGCTTGTAGAGAACCCAGGGTCACTGGTATGTGGCAGCACCACGCCGTCGACAGAGCGTTTTTTCGTGCATAGCTTCGGATTTTCAGCGCAGCGTAATAAACACTATAGGATCCTTGGAATTACGTATCTATTTATGTTCTAGTAAGGGAGCCCATCTCCTAATACGTACTGATGTTGCGCCTCAGATATGTGGAATATTTGCTTTTTGATCGATATTCACAAGTACGAACGAGCCCAGCGGGCTGGGCGTTGAGGAAGTGCTTGAACTTTCTGGCTGAATCGTGTGACATACATACATACATACATACATACATACATACATACATACATACATACATACATACATACATACATACATACATACATACATACATACATACATACATACATACATACATACATACATACATACATACATACATACATACATACATACATACTACATACATACATACATACATACATACATACATACATACATACATACAGTTGTTGATTGAAAAACTTGAATGCCCGTGACGGAGCAAAGCTTCGTGCTAAAGTCCACAATGTCTACATTGAAGTCGTCGTCTAGTATAAAGGACGAACAGACGGACGCACGAACGGACGTATGAACGGCCGCACGCACGGAGTAAAGAAAGACCTTAAACCTATAGACGCGCTGTGAACGCTCCATGTACGGTATATGTAAAACGTGTATTTCGGTCCGACGAGAAGCTACGACGACAGGAAGGAAGGAAGGAAAACAGGGGAAAAGAACGGCAGGGAGGTTAACCAGCCTATAGGAAGCCAGTTTGCTACCCTGCGCATGGGAGAGGGATGGGGGAGATGTAAGATAGTGAGCAGAGAGGGAAGAGAGAAACACAGCACATTCGGCAGCACACGCGCGCACACTCAGTCATAGTCCAGTCTAGTTTTTCGTGATGTGTGACCTTGCTATTACAGTCGCTTGTTCAAGTCCGTGTCGCGTAGGAATTTCTACAAAGCTTTCGTCGCCTTCTGTTGCATTGTCTTTTCTCGGGCACTTGACAGAATAGTGTCCACAGACATTTGGCTGTTGTCGATGCGCGCAAGAGCGGACGCCAGTGACTGTCTCTGGATTTCATACAACGGACAGTGACACAGGATGTGGTGTAGCGTCTCTTCGCAGTGACAGGCATCGCAGAGAGCGTCATCGGCCATTCCTATGACAAAAGAATAAGATTTTGTAAATGCCACTCCAAGCCATAAGCGATGAAGAAGGGTGGCTTCACTTCGGTCGAGTCCAGTGGGCATGCGGAGAGCCATCGAAGAGGACAGGTGGTGTTGACGATTCGTATCGATGTTTGGTGGGCACCATAGTGAAAACGTGATTTCACGTGCAAGTCGTCGAAGATTACTGGCAGCATCGGTCCGCGAAAGTGGTATGGCTTTTCCTTGTGTTCCTTCAAGGGCTGCCCGCGCGGCAGTATCGGCATGTTCGTTCCCTATGATGCCGCAGTGACTTTGCAGCCATTGAAGCGTTCCATGATGCCCTTTCTCATGTGGAGTGTGGAGAAGGCATCGAATTTCGAAAACAAGCTGTTGGTATGGCCCGCGACGCAGTGCTGAGAGCACAGATTGTAGGGCAGCCCTTGAGTCGCTGAAAATCGACCATTGTTGCGGTGGTTCCCGATTGACCACACAGAGTGCCGCGCGCAAAGCAGCTAGTTCCACTGCTGTAGATGCCGTAAAGTGGTCAGTCTTAAAGCTGATGGTAATACCTCTTGCTGGGACAACTACTGCCCCTGACGAACACTGGCGGTTCGTGGAACCATCGGTGTATACATGTATGCTGTCTGAATATTTCTCGTGCAAAAGAAGAAGAGAGTATCGGGAGAGGACAAGACATCGGGAGAGCCCAATACCAGTGTCACACGGCCACCACCGAAATCTGCTAAACTTCATCACCGTAACACTCCTCCAGGGAGTTCGACGGAGATGTCTCACAGGGCGATTTGGCAATTTTACAAGCTTTGGACAGAAGCCGCAAGGAGCCCATCAGGCGCTGCTGCACCTTCTCTGCCTGCAAGATTTCGCGACTAATCCCTCTGAAAATATTTTATGCTATCGGTGCACACCAGTGTGTGCATTTCCTTTTAGTTAAACGTACGTTATGAACGGATTATGTAGTGAAAAAACTTTTAGTATTAATGAAGCTCACTCTTGTATTGACTGCAGCTGCTTTGTGTTTGCGATTTCTCTCGTAACCACACATTACTGAGGACGAGAGTACTCCATTCCGCCGCTGCCAAAGACCACCGAACTTCCTCAGCGAAAAGCTCCATTTAACTTCCTTGACGCAATAAAGGAAGACCACGGGGACACGGACCTGCATTTCCGTTGTCATAAAGACGAGAGGGTTGAACGGAGTTTGCGGGCGCCTGAGTGGCAGGGGTGACGTGGACAGGAACATGTCCTTTCAATATTTCACACAGACATAGCCACACGAAAATGTGTCCACAAAAAGAGAGGCACACGTATGCATAATTCAAGGTAAACAAGAGACACAAGTAAAACATGAACATGTACATTTCACGTATTTACATGTTGGCATACCATTTCTGCCGACGCATCGATACATGAGCCTTCCGATACCAGGGCGGCCGAAACACAAGTTTCATACTTCTGAACATTGTCGATGAAAAAGCAAATAACACACATATCCGAGGCTCAACATCAATACTTGAGTATTGGGCAGTGTGTGTTTTTCCTAAAATATGCATAGACACGTGATTCTAAGAGCCTAGTATCTTTTACGATGCGCTGACAATGCGACGCTATGCACGAGATAGCGGGTGTTTCCGTTTCGCTAAGACGAGAGTCACTGTATATGCTCCTTACGGGAGCAGAGTAGGGAGTAGGTCCGTCAACATGCCTGGTTATCAACCATAGTTGATAACCAGGCATGTTATCAACCACAAGCCGCGCTCTGTTTTTGCGAGGGAGTTACTTAAGTCTGTCGCCCATCGACGTAGCGTGTCGCCGATCGCCAGTCGACGTGCTTGGCGTGTCAACGACTGGCCAAGAAAGAACAAAAACCTGCTTTCGGGACTCAGCCACGGGAGTTCAAAAGCTTTTTTTTTTTAGTCTGTCCGATAAGGCAAAGCGCAAAGGCGTAGCGAAGTGCCGAATAACATGCAACACCGCTACCGCATGGTGAAGTGGCGCCAGCTATGGGAGATTAGCGACAACTCCCAAACACGAAATATTCGAGCCCTTTGTACTGGAAATGGCACTGAGTAATATTGAAAGCGGTGAAAGTTGGTAACGATGCATAGCTGGTCGAGATAAACGACGCAAAAAAAAAACGAAAGACTTAGAATAGGAAGGACACAAGACGCAGCGCTCGTCTTGTGTCCTTCCTTTTCTCAGTCTTCATTTTTCTTGCGCTGTTTAACTCGACCAGCTATGAATTGTTACCAACTTGCCCAGTTATCAATACAAAATATAGGTCCTGCGAGATTCAAGGAGTGCACCTCTAAGCCTACAACAGTTGATTGTTTCACTATGTATTTCAATAATGGTGCCGAACCAATGCAAATACTCTGCTGTCGAGGCTTAAGGACATGCATCTAAAGCAAATAAAAACACCAGTACGTAGCCAACGAGCTACACGGCGCACGACGGTCACTTGATAGATTCCAGGTGGACAACAACCGCTTTCGGAGGTGCGGCCTGCGCACCAGCTTCTCCGCAGCGCATGGTTGCTAGCGTCGTTGAAAATTTAAGACTAAAGTGACTTTAGTTAAGACAATATGGCGGTGCCACCTACCAGTGGCTCAGGGTTCTACACAGGCTTTCGTTTCCCGACATTACTGCCAGATGGCGTCCATATCGCATAGCGCCATATCGCATAACTTTTAAGCAGGAAATTGCCAAGGAAAGAATCTATGATAATACTCGGAGTAGTTCTCTACTGTTTAAGCCAGGACGTGAGTATTGCGAACCAAGACATATCGGGCCATATACGAAGAAGTAGACACGGTATGCAGTGCGTGTGGAGAGGAAGAAGAAACTGCGGAACACTTGATTATGTTCTCTAAAGGGCTTCACCCTAGAGTTCAGGATGATGGCGCAGAGTTTTTCAAAACACTGGGGTTAGGGACAGTGAGGGCAAACTAGACTTTAAGCGGGTAGACCTAACTAGAAGGAGGTTATCTGATTGGTGGCTAAAGTCAAAGCACGAGTGAAAATTAAGCCCTTCACGGCAAAGTACCAGTCCAACTTTACAATTTAAAGGGGAAAAAAAGATAAAATCTAGTGGTTAGTTCACTAAGTATTATGGCTAGGTGGCGCTGGCCGCCGCCCGATCTAAAGGGTACAGCCAAATCCATCCATCCATCCATCCAGCCCCAGACCCAGGAGGCCCTCGTGAGACGAGCGAGGACAGCGGCCCGTGCCAATGGGATCCCGGACTAAGGATCCCACTTACCGACATTCCTTCCTCGGTCGCAAATAAATATTTTATTCTCTCTGTCTCTCCAGGCAGAAAATTCGACGACATTTGCAGCGAAACACGCCAATACGCAGTCAATCTTTTTTTTTTTCTCGACTACTATATAGCGCCCCCTTGGGGAGAGAGATAAAAATGCACAGCTCATCTGCGTACGGCTGGTTGCTGCGAAGGCGGCGGCCCAGCTGGCTGCGAAGGCGGCAGCCCAGCTGGCTGCGAAGGCGGCAGCCCAGCTGGCTGCGAAGGCGGAAGCCCAGCTGGCTGCGAAGGCGGAAGCCCAGCTGGCTGCGAAGGCGGAAGCCCAGCTGGCCGCGTTGGAGGAACACGTGGCGCCGGCAGTGCACGCGGTAGCGCCGGCGTCGAGAAGAGTGGCGGCAGAGTCGACGACCGAGGCGCGGACCAGGACGGCACCAAAGGCCGAGGGGGCGGCGTCATCGACGTCCCCATCGGGTACAAATCCCCGCACCAACTGGGAAAATAGATGAAGATAAACGAACACTTGAGCACACGGCGCTTGCTTCTGTTCCATTTTTATACGTGTATTTTTTTATATTGGTACTGCAAATCGGTGATGACTGTAATGTGTTATTTCAAAACGTATGTGTCGACATCTGTTATACCTGTTGAATTTGAATTTTGTGTCCCCTCATTCAAAAGCAGAATTGAATTTGTATCCTTTGTTCCACTTCACCTGAGCAAATGTAAGGGTGGAGGGACCTTAGTCGGGCAGAGGTACTCTGCCTTTAGTCCCTTCGACCTAGGGAATCATTGGTTTTGTCTGAATATATAGTGAATGAATGAATGATGAATGAATGAATGAGAATATCCTTTCCCCTGGGGATTCTTCTGCAGAATAGAGCAGCAAGAGCGTCTGCGTAGCAGTTTGTGAATTTCTCAGGGACACAAGAAGGTTTGCTTGTTAAATTTCCTTTTCTTTCTTTTTTAACTAATTCAATTTTAGTTCTTTGAAACTCCTTTTAATTATTATTTATTTACCTACTTTATTCGTAAGTCACATTATGATAATCCACTCTCATATTTCCTGGATGATTGAATAATCATTTTTTCTCCTTCTAAATATAACTATTCGTTTTTCTCATTACAAAGCTGCCAGTTAAATTGTCAATCCCCAATAGTGGGTACAAGCCAAAGCATAGAGGAACAAGCAAGCAATATACAAAAATAGTAATGTAGTCAAATAAATAATTACACAGGTAACGAATAGAAAAAAAAAACACCTGGCCTGCGCTGAACGCGCAGCACTGTGACAGCGAAAGCTAAAACAGCAGCCTTCGGACCATTTCTTTAACACTCTTTCGGTATCTGCTGCAAGCACACGTGCAGGGTACCCGCTACGCCATTAATCATTGTGTGGTAGGCAGACATTCAGTATGCCAACCTTCGTCGTTCTTCGGAGAAGCGTGGTACTTACTGCACACTTGCAAGGAACTTTGTGCAATTTTCGTGAGCTGCGGCTGACACCAATGAATAATTATGCCAGAAGCTTTTGTAATTCCCGCCATCCCCCACAGTAGGTATTCGCCAAAGTTAACAGGTGAAAAAGATCAAGCTCTTGTAAAGAGTTGCAGCATTCGACGGCACACTCGTTGCTCATTTCACGTCATCTGACACCTGGTTGTCGCTTTGTTGTTATATAACGCTTTATTACTCGTATAACGCGATTCCTTCCCGACAAGAGTATAAAGATGGGTGTGTTGGTAATACATAACTAATAACGTAGCGCGTAAAAAATGAGACACAGGACAAGGGAACGAACAAAGAGGAGCGCTAACATCAAGCCTGCCTAGGACCAATTTGCCAGGGTGTTCGAAAAAAAAAAAACGCCAGGCCTGCGTGGCAGGCGCAGAACAGTCGCAGCAAAAGCTAGAAGAGCGGCCTTTCAGAGCGTTTGCTAAACACAAATTGGGTAACTACTGCAAGCACACTTGCTTGATACCCAATACGGCATTAATAATAAATATTATTGGGTAGTAGGCCGCCATTCGCTATGCTATTTTTCGTCATTCTTCTGAGAAGCGTCGTATCCGCTAAACACTTGCGAGGAATTTTGTGCCCATTTTCGTTCATGCAGTGGCTGACGACGATGGGGAATCATGCCTGAAGTGGGTATGCGCCACAGTTAATAGGTGATCAAAAAGAAGCTTTTTGTAATGAGTTGCAGCATTGCACGACCCACTCGTTACGCTATTCGCTTTGTGTGACCACTCGCTGTTCTTTCGGTGTTCTAAAACGCTTCAAAAGTTGTAATAGCGCGATTCCTTACCCGATATCAAGCCTGTCTAAGGCAAGTCGGGATGAAGAAAATATACAGACCGCGGCGCTGACTAACAACCAAATGTGCTGCTTGATTCTTCTATTCCGCATATATATAGACTGTTTTTTTTTTTCCTGAAGGATCGCGGGGCACCGTCATAATTCTCTCTGAACTGCGGTTAACATAGGGGATCCCTCTAAAATGCACTGCCGAGGTAGTGAACGTTGGTTTTCGCGCTCCCGTTGCAAAAGCTGAGGAAGGAGGGGGACCCTTCTCCGTTAAAGAGGCCTGCATACCCGAATCTCAAGAAGACAGAACAACAAGGGGGAGGGATACGCCCGAAAACGACCAGCCTGCACAGAGACAGTAAAAAACTCTCAATGGTAGAGGAATGTCAACTTCTTCTGAAGGAGGGAAATCGGGGGAAGGGCTGCACGCATGCCTAGCCGCCGTTGTCGACATGATACGCTTCGGAAACGAAACGCACGCGTTCATCACGGTGTTTTGACGCGAAAGCATAATCATTAAAAGACGGCCGGCAGCCGCAATTATTACAGCGAAGAGACAGTTGACTATATATGTTGCCTTTTTCTTATGCGGTCATTGGCGCAACGCCCCGTTTGTCCAACATACTAACGACCACAGGAACGATGGATCTTTTACAAAGCGCCATCACAGCAATCTACAAACTTCTGTCGGGGACTCGCTCGCTGGATTCCGTGCCGACTGTTTGTGCTCTCGCGATCTCCGACGACAGTGCAGCTCTGGCCGACTGGGCTCGCCCTACGCCATCTCCTGACGCCGGTCCCCGACGACGACGATAGCGTAGCTCTGGCCGACTCGATTAGCCCTACGCCACCTCCTGTCGCCGACAAGAGCTCTCGCCAGTGGTGCCCCGTCCTCGGACTCCAGCGATCGTCTCCATCTTTCTTATCTTCTCCTCGCTTCCGTCGTTCGCTGTCCCTGCACCTCGCTCTCTCCTTCCTCTCTCTCTATCTTTTTACCTTTTAATCATATCCTTTTAATCCATTATCTACCCCCATCCTTCGTGAGCTACTGTTGAGGTGTCCTCCCCCTGAGAGACAGTTACGGGGCTCACTTTTTTCTTCTTTTCACTTAAAATCACCCCCCCCCCCCAGAACTTCTGTCGATGTTTATTGCTACATTTTTTTCCGTTTTACAGTACATACGTACTTCTGTCATGATAACGTCAAGATAACGGCAATCGTAGTGAAGGGCCTTACCCTGAAGCTCATCTGTCTAGCAGTGTTCAGGGCCGCCATCCTCGCTGGCACAAGCACTACGTATCAGCTCACCGCTTCTCATCATTGCTGGTGACTTTAATGTGGACGCGTTTGCAAGCACAACCACACCTGGTTCCCACAATACACGAAAGACGCTTTCCTTCTAAGACAGAGCCTCCCGAAATCTCGCGCCCACGACGAGGACCGGAGGTGTCGCTGAGCACTTCATCACGGGCATGAATAATTTCACGCAACGAAACTATTCGTCATACTTCAGTGTCCATGTGCTCCTTGTAGCCGCATTGGCAGACGATTATTTTCATAAGAACAACTATACTTCTGCTGATGGTGCTGACATTTTACAGTGGTTTGGTCCAAGTTATGGAGGTGTCAACAGCCCACTGGACTCGTGCTCACAACCCGTCGACACGTGGACTTCACATGTCCACCCCAGATGCACGCATATTCGCGATGTGTGCGCACGTAACCTTCGTCACATGCTAATAAACTAAACATTTCGACCTACCACAGTTTCTGCTGGTAGCGCGTGTAGTGCATGTAACTAGAGTCCTTCCATCCGCATGCTTTGCGAAACGTCGATTCCCATAGGTACGAAGGATCTGCCAATTGTTGAGCAACCTTAAGTCGATAATTTCAATTGCTTCTTCGATATTTTTGTTATATATTTTACTTTACACCTTGTTCGCTTCATTTAGCCTGTTTTGAGCACTGACAGCCTTGTCTTATGCGTGTACTGAGCACAGACTGATCATGCTGCATAACATCCATAGACGCGTGGTCACATTGGCTGATGAAGAGCAAGAAGCGCACTTAAAGAGCGTCAGACACACCAACCTGATCGTATCCTCCGCCGGCCGCGCAACGGGCGGCGGCAGTCTCGCAGCTTTTCTCCAATCCTTGAACGTGACAACATCGGGCTTCCGGAATGCGCCCGACTGGAACGAGGAAGAAGAGGAGTAGAGGGCTGCGGGGGCGTAGGACACCGGAGGAGCCGCTGCGGCTGCGGGGGCGTAGGACACCGGAGGAGCCGCTGCGGCTGCGGGGGCGTAGGACACCGGAGGCGCCGCTAGACGCGGACCAGTCTGCCGCACTGCGGGCCGGTTCCACGGCACCAGGAACGCCGAGGCTGTGGTGCCCGGGAGGCCTCCTCGCTGCCAGAGCGCGGAGTCGACGGTCGCGGCTTGCTCGACTTCTTCCCTCCGCTCCACACGTCGGTCGAGGCGCTCTTCTCCTTCTTGTCGTTTCTCTGCTTCCTTGAAGAACAGCTCGTGCTCCTTCCTGGGGGAGTCAGGCAGCAGGCTAGACGCCGGGCTCGCTGCACGGACGAACACACACAGACACGCGTGCAACGACGAGGCCGCACCACGCCATCAACGCGCGCAAACTCCCCGAGAGTACTGGGAGGCAGCCCTGCTCGGCTGCTAGGACTTTCTGGCTGAAAAAAGCCATGGCCCCGTCGTGCCAGGACAGTGGCCACGACCAACGGGGTTGCCTGATGCGTCATATAGAAAAGTAAAGAGGGGAGGGGGGGACAGACTCATCTCATACTTAAATAGTGCGTGTGGGTCCCCTCAAAGTCTATTTCGATTGGCCGTATTCCACCGTTTCAACTTTAGAAGCGTTCACCTAAGTTCATGAACGTGCGACTTCCAACGTAACGAGCAGGTTCAACGCCAATTTACCAAGACAACAATTGAAGAACAAACAAGAACGAAAAACAAACAGGATGACGACCAATGCAATCACTTCAGCGGATTAAAAGAACAAAAAAAACTCTTGATGTAACCAGACGAAGCTTTGTCAACTGCACCGAAGCAAGACCACCGCGGACTTACAGTGACAAGTGAATTTGTCACCGGCGCGAGAGGCAGTGAGCGAAGGCGACACGCAACTACCTTTGCCGCACTTCTTTCACGTCTCGTGCGTATACGTAGGTGGATCTGTGCTGCAGCGCGTTAGCGTAAGATGAAATAGGGAGTTCGACAGGAAGAGCTAGGGGAAGAGGGGAGGGCTGAATCTCATTCGAGAACAAAGAGCTCGCCTCAGATGTGCGATCTCACCGAAGGTGTGACGGAATCGACGAAGAAAACGAATCAAGAGCCAATAACGAGTCGAGTAGGAGAAAATTAAACGATGGAACGCATGAAGAAGAAAGACTAGCCGCACTCCTTGTCGGTCCTAATTTGCGGCCAGTGCTCCATCGGCGCGACTCAGTTGTAAAGGAAAGAAACAATAAGTTAGTTACCGCTTCCATTCGTCGAATCCTGCTCCGTTGGTTTTTGCTTCTCGCAGTCATACGTGTCGGAATTCCCTTAAGGAGATTAACTGCCCTCCCCCAATCCGCCCCCACTCCCCTTTCCATCAACACACACACACACACACACACACACACACACACACACACACACACACACACACACACACACACACACACACACACACACACACACACACACACACACACACACACACACACACACACACACACACACACGTGCCAACTTTGAAGCCAGCGTCTCCTTTCTGTCTTTCTCACACACACTCTCTCTCTTTGTTCGGTCTCCTCCGAGCCTTATTCTGGTCATGAAAGAGAGGGAATTCTGTTCTGTACGTTGCAGACTCCGTGTTGAGTTGTAAATACCAGCCACGCGCGTGCACACGAGACAAAACAGGAACAACAAAAACGTGAACTCGCATCAAAATTTAAACAGACAAGGTGAAAGACTGGTTCTGCGTGTACCGTCCTTTCCTGAGGGCATGGCTGTCGAATCAAGGAACGGATCTAATTTATCCCTCAGACGGGGAAAAAACAAACAAAAACCGGAAGCCGGAGGCCGAAAAACAGTAGCGGCCTCTTGTTGCTGCGGCACACGGTTGGAAGATGGAAAGTGTGGGCGATTGCGTGGTAACACGCGCGCTATCTCCATCTCTGGAAGCGTTGATTAGCTTAACCCTTTTCTTATCTCTTCCTTTCTCTTTCATTCTCTCCCTCTCCCCCCCCCCCTTTCGCTTCCTCGGCACTATTTCCAACTTGACGAGCTTCTGCTCGCTTTGCCTCAATGCCTTCTTATTACTTGCGGGTCCCACTTCGTTCCCGATTTACTTTAATCGTCTTCTCCGGCTTTTTGAGTTGTCGTTGTTGTTCTCCCTTTTTTTCCCACCGACATTCTTTCAATATCTTGTCTTCTCGGCAGCACGCACTATAGTGTTCTGTTTTCTTCCTCATCAACGTGTTCGCCGAATTCTCTGGCCACGCGTGGGCCAACGTCAATCTTGGTTATGATATGACGCCGTAATCTCTCTCTCCCTCTTGGCGCTGTTATCTATACGCGCACGGGTTTCCATACTATCGCGTGCGTTTCCACTTCCCTCCTCACCAACATCACGCCAGCTCATGTGCTTTTTCAACCCCCCTCCCCCCGTTTCACGTTTTTCACGTTTTTTTTTTTACCGGGCTTTCCTATTAGTTCCTTTTTTGGCTCTGTATGCGCTTTACTTCCCCATTTTCTTTTTTTTTCGATTACGTATTCCCGAAAATTCCGAAATGCTCGGGACAAATCGAGAAAGCACTCGAGATAGGCAGAGGTCTCTCCTTGTTTTCCCTCTTTCAACTCGATCGTGGTGTTCTACTCAAACAAGAAAAAAAGAAAGAAAGAAAGAAAGAAAGAAAGGCCCCGCCATGGTGGTCTAGTGGCTAAGGTACTCTGCTGCTGACCCGCAGGTCGCAGGCTCGAATTCCGGCTGCGGCGGCTGCATTTCCCATGGAGGCGGAAATGTTGTAGGCCCATGTGCTCAGATTTGGGTGCACGTTAAAGAACCCCAGGAGGTCGAAAATTTCCGGAGCCCTCCTCTATATGGCGTCTCTCAAAATTATATGGTAGTTTTGGGAAGTTAAACCCCACATATTAAGAAAGAAAGAAAGAAAGAAAAAAAGAAAGAAAGAAAGAAAGAAAGAGAGAAAGAAAGAAAGAAAGAAAGAAAGAAAGAAAGAAAGAAAGAAAGAAAGAAAGAAAGAAAGAAAGAAAGAAAGAAAGAACAGGCGTCGGCGCTTCTACCTTAAATGTTTCTTGAAGCACAGAGAAAGAAGCCCCGAAAAATAAAACGAAATAAAGAAAGCTTGACCATAAGAAGCAAACTTTTCTACAAGCAGGACCCCAGCCGTTGGTTGGAAAATTCCTCTTTTTCTCTAGCCCGCACTGTTTCCTCTTTTTCCCCAACGTTCTGCGCCGTCATCCCTAAAGCGCACGTCGCCGCTGCCACGCGGATCGCGCATGCGCGGTAGTGTTGCGCCTTTTCTCATGGGCTAGGGACATCTATATACGGGTGCGCGTATAATATAGCGCGTCTGTCCCGGACAAAGAACTCGCGCAACCGTGAAACGTAGCCCGGTAGGTAGCTCCTGTACACCACCGCGACGGCCTTGCCTAATTAAAAACGCCCCCCCCCCCTCCCTCTATCCCCTCAACTACCTCGTCTTCCATATATCTTAGAGCTCTTGTAAGGTTAACGGAGCCCGTAAGAAGCCGCGGCTCCTTCTCGTGAGAGTGTATACGAATCCGGGGAGTTGAGGCTTTCGACAAAAAAAAAAAAAAACGAATACGTAATACCTTCTGTCTGTGTTAAGCTTTTGTGTGTGTTCCAACTTGTTGTGTGCACCGCAGTGGTCTAGTGGCTAAAGTACTCGGCTGCTGACCCGCAGGTCGCGGGATCAAATTCCAGCTGCAACGGCTCCATTTCCGATGGAGGCGGTAACGTTGTAGGCCCGTGTACTCAGAATTGGGAGCACATTAAGGAACCTCCGGATGGTGGAAATTTCCGGGAGCCCTCCAATACGGCGTGTCTCATAATCATATGGTGGTTTTGGGACGTTAGAACCCTATAAATCAATCAATTATCTCGACGGCTACCCCCATTGTGGTTTGCGGTCTCCCTCTATAGAAAGAGCTTCTTGCGATTCGTTGCTTCGTGCTGCTTACCGCGCGAAAGCGATTTCATTTCCTCGGCATATGTTTTTCGGGGCTTCGGAACTTTTATTTGCTCTTAGAGCATATAGCTCTATGAGGCACCCATTCCTGCTTGGAGCGTTGTCACCGTTGCCGTGGGCGGCGTAACTGGCGGACACGAAAAAAAAAAAAATTAACTGACACACACCCCTGCGGGATAGAATGGGAATCGAACGCGGGCCCTCTGTGAGGCAGTCCGGTATATTCTAGCGCAAAGCCACGCCAACGCTTGAAACTAATTTGCAGAAAGAGCCCATACGTGCGTCACGTCTGCCAAAAAACAGCGCCAACTGACGTATTATAGCGTGGCAAGAGAGTAAACTAGTCATCCCCCACACTGATAATTACGCAATCGGAGTGTCTGGTTTAATGTGTCCCACTCACTCATTAACACTCATTTACACCGTGAACGTTTACTGGTTACAAACTCGTAAAGTAACTATACTTCACCAGAGGTATATGGTAGGTGAAGATAGATCCAGATACGGTGCAACTCGTAAAATAGGTATATTTCACCAGAGGTATATGGTAGGTGAAGATAGATCCAGATATGGTGCAACTCGTAAAATAAGTATATTTCACCAGATGTATATGGTAGGTGAAGATAGATCCAGATACGATGCAACTCGTAAAATAAGTATATTTCACCAGAGGTATATGGTAAGTGAAGATATATACAGATACGGTGCAACTCGTAAAATAGGTATATTTCACCAGAGGTATATGGTAGGTGAAGATAGATCCAGATACGGTGCCCATATATATTCGGCGACCCACGAGTGATCATGCAGCGTGAACGGCGGGGTGGTCAATGTTGGCGATTTAATGCTTATCGAACGTTGTTTTCGTGTTTCTGCACGTGTCATAAATGTTGTGTACCTCGAAGTTAATTTATTTAAACATTCGGTCGCACGGCCGCGAAAGGCGATAATTTTTTTTGACGGATACGATAATTCACGCCCGTATACTTACCTGAAAAAATTCCCCGACGGACGTAAATTGATTCATATGTAGGGTTTAACGTCCCAAAACAACCATATTATTATTAGAGACGCCGTAGTAGAGGGCTCCGGAAATTTTGACCACCTAGGATTGTTTAAGGAGCACCCAAATCTGAGCACACGAGCCTAGAACATTTCCGCCTCCATCAGAAAAGCAGCCACCGCAGCAGAGATTTGATCCCACGACCTGCGGGTCAGCAGCCGAGTACCTTAGCCACTAGGCCACCATGGCGGGGCTACAGACGTAGATACTCCACCCACCCAACCCATCCAAAAACTGCCATCCTTAAAGCTGTATTCCCACAAGGAACGTGATCGCGATTGGATTCCGGAAATCGCGTATACTATACGTCACCAAATGTCGCCCGTTCACGCGCCTCCGCCTCGATTCGCGCGGAGCGATTCGTATATATAGTAGGAATTCTCGTGGAGCAAAGCGGAAATCCTCGCTTGTAGCGTGAATTCCTCTCCTTCCGTCTGAATGCTGCTTGCTGAGCTATCCGAATCACCTCCCATGTCACGTGACTGACAAGTCCGCGATCACGTCCGTCGTACAATACAGCTTTAGGAGAGCGCGCCCCCATCGAAGGGTGCGCTGGAGGAGAAGTCGTTCACACCTATCTCGGCTTATTCTTGCCCACAGTGCACAGCACTCACTGATTCAAGCAGGTCAATTTCGGGCTACATATAACTGCTATACCGCTGATTATATCGCATTCAGTTCTGAAGATATCTACGCGATTTCGACTCAACGCGTAGATCAGAGCCAACGTTACCTTTGGAGGCCGCACTCGACGCGATGACGTCACTATCGCGAGAATTCACGAGTACCAGTCATTCGGCTTGTCTTTTTTTTAGGGGCGAAGCTTCTTCAGGCGTCGGTTTGTCCATCTGTTGTATGCATGTATGTAGTAGTACGTAACCACCGGTGGCACATACTCGCTCTAGAGCGGGTATGTGCCACAGGGGACACGAGATGGGAGATGGCGGTACTTGGAGTGTACACTAGATGGACGCACCGACGGATGGACAGACAGACTAGCAGACGGACGGACGGACGGACGGACGGATGGACAGATGGGTGCACGAATAGACCACCAGATTGATGGACGGACTCACGAACGGACCCACGGACAGATGGACGCACGGATGGTCGCACGGACGGACGGAAGCAAGAAGGAACAGACGGACGGAAGCACGGACGGAAGCACGGACGGGCTGACGGACGCTTCGCCCCATTCATCAACATTCACTCCGTGGATATGCAGTGATATTTTTTTTTTCATATCCCATTGAAATCATCAGTCGGTACCGTACACGCTAGGCTTACATGATTGCCCTGTGTGCCTGCAGTCTTAGATGTCCGTCAGTAGTGTAAAACGCTAGGCCTACAAGCTTTTCCTGTGTGTCCAGCCGCACATACATTCTAGGCCCCAGACGATTTAGTTCAATGACACGACCGCATGGTCAATGCGTCGCGCACTTCGTCATCGCACGAGCGCATGCTCGCTAACAAGGACACCTGCGCCACTCTTTAATTGGTTGAGGCGCGACACTTCAGCGCCTCGACCAATCACGGGGTTTTACGTCCAAAAAACCACCACATGATTACGAGAGACGCCGCAGCGGAGGGCTCCGGAAATTTCCGCCATCTGGGGTTCTTTAACGGGCACCTAATTTCAAGCACATGGGCCCCGATAATTTCCGTCTCCATCGAAAATGCGGCCACCAAGGCCGGGATTCGAACCCGCGACCTGCTTGCAGGTCACCTGTCGAGAACCACGACAAGTGGACCACGAGTGTTGACGATTGGGCGTGTTGGTTCGTTGTGCTTGAACTGATGCAGCGCATTACGGTAACGAAGAAATGGACGAGCCGACGGACGCAAGAGGACACAAGGCTACGTCCTCTTGCGTCGGTCTGCCCGCGGCCATTTCTTCTTTAGCGCTATGTGCTATACCAGTTCAAGCCCTGGAAAATCACGCCGTGTCTTGACGCACCAATATGGAAAAAAAAAACAGTAAAGAAAAGTTCCCTCGCTCACCGCTTCGAGCCTCCAAGGACGCGTCCAAGACGAGAACCTCGTCCTCCTCCTCCGCGGGAGACGAATCGACGATAAACTCGGGGTCCACGACGAGCGCCTTCTGTTCCGAGGGCGGTTGCTTCTGCATAGGTGACGGCGACGCCGCACCTTCGGAGAGTGACTCCTCGCTGCGGTATAGAGAATATAGTGACTTTGCAAGGGAGCACACCCAGACGTTCGATTCGCTGGGTTCTCGCCAGCTCGGTGTTTTAGAACGTGGGTTCGTAGTATACGTAAACCAAAACGCCACATAAAAGTAATGGGGTCTTCGTGACATTAGCGCTTTCAGGTATTAGGTATACGGGAAGCGAATGCAAAAACAGTAAATAAGCGCAACTTTTAGGTTATTGATTGATTGATTTGTGGGATTTAACGTCCCAAAGCCGCCATATAATTATGAGAGACGCCGTAGTGGAGAGCTCCGAAAATTGAGACCACCTGGTGTTCTTTATTGTTCACCCAAATCTGGGCACACGGGCAGCATTTGCCTGCCTCCATCGAAAATGCAGCCGCCGCATCCGGGATTTGGTCTCACGACCTGCGGGTCAGCAGCCGAGTACCTTAGCCACTAGACCACCACGGTGGGCGATACGTGGCGCTGCTGGATGCCGAAAGGTGGACGCACAATTCGCAGGGCAATGCGATTCCAGCGACGAGTTGCGAAATGCAAATTAAGCCGAGAACGCACGCACGCACGCACGCACGCGTACGCGGGACGTATCCGTCTTTAGATGGTTAGCACGATTATCAGAGCGAGATAAAGACTGCACGCATTATGCACAGGAGCTTTTTTTGTTGTTTGTGGGCGACAGCTGTCTAACAGTATCAATTAAACGTGACAGTTACATAAAAATACTCGTTTTATATTCTTTCTTCAGCGGCAGCATTGAAAGGACATCATCGGCTGAATCGCGCCCCCCTAATAAGAGCACGGATTACAGAAACGACGCGGACAAGCGCATTTCATCTGCGGCTGTCGACTCTACAGGTCGTTTTATTTTATCCTATGCCACTGAAATAGCGAAAAAAAAACAAAAAAAAACTTTTTATAGTATATTGAATGACCATTGAAGCGCATTTTTAATAATATTCATGGCTCATAGGAAGCTCCAAGGAGCCTTATACAAAGAGCTCTACAGAATGTTTTAGATAGTTTAATTAATCGACAAGATTCAAAAAGAAAAAAAAACTAAATTGCTCGTTTTTGACATTTATAGGATGATATAGCGTCACCACCCCAGCGATCGCAGTCTCGTTCTATCTAGGCAGCATACTAACATGCGCCAGGAATATTTACCTTCGGATAAGTCTTCCACATTCTGCTCAGAGAATGGTCTTTATTGCGATAGCAATTATACGCGAATCGAAGAAGCATTTTTGCCGTCACCGTGGCAGCAAGTTGTCTTTTCCTTCACTTCTATTTCGTCTCATTTTATATCATGCTTACAAATACCATCTCTAAGAATTTCCTTGATTTGTCTGATTGCTCTCATCAATGTTGCGTCCCAAGGTCATTCACTGCACCACAAGACCTTGATCTATTGAAGCGCAAACGCAGAAGCCATGACGTCACCATGCACGTGCAGAAATCCGCAGCGGAGAGGCGTCGCAGCTCGTTGCAGCTGTCCTCGATCGGAGTCTTACCGCTCTTGTACCACGTGACCAGTTAACATCTGCATCGCCGGCGCCAGGTCACTCACCGTTCAGTACTGCCACGGCGTACTGCAATTCGGTACTGCAATGTCTACACGTGCACCCCAGAGCAAGCGAGAAGCTGAATCTAATTAGTCCAGGAGGCGCACCTATACACGGCAGGCTTTGAGATTTCAAACAGTGACTTCCTCTCGCCTGATCTTATCCCCTCTCAGGCGACTCATACTTCATGGCGTCATTAACGTTGTTTCCTCATTATACTGCTCAAACACCAGAACAAAGGGAGGGCAGAATATAAAGTTACAGAAATGTTTGCGAAGTTCGGAATAATCAAAGATCAAAGCTATTCAGCCGTCGTCCTCGTCGAGCAACACGAAACGCAGGGAGGCGAAAAAAGCCAAATTTTAGTGAGACGCTGTGCCTATTTAATCTTTGCAAAACCATTTCAAACACGTGCTTTTGTGGTGATAACTAGGTTTACCAGAGCTAGACGTCAGCCCTCTTTTTTGACCGACCAGCCTTAAAAATGGCCATTCACGCTATCTATATGCATCAATGGCCGCAAAGCCACCGCAAAATAACGGCGCGGTAGGAACGTTGACGGTGGGGTGCTCATAGCCGTTGCCTACGACGCCCCCCTCGGCGGCAACGCGTATCGTCAATGAAAAATACAGCGCAGCGTGAAAAAAGCTAGCGCACCAGCCGAAACCTTAGAAAAGTACAACCTGTCACTGAACGAACAGGCAGACGGACGGAAACACGACACACGCACACGCACACACACACACACAAACACACGCACGCACACACATACGCACACACACACACGCACGCACACGCATACACACACACACGCAGACACACACAAACACACACACGCACGCACACAAACACACACGGACACAGACGGACACACACGCACGCACACGCACGCACACGCACGCACACACGCGTGCACGCACACACACGTGCACAGACACAGACGCATGCACACGCACACACACACACACGCACGCACACACACACGCACACGCATGCACACACGCACGCGCACGCACGCACGGACACACACGCACACACACAAACGCACACACACACACACCTTGGTGCCGATGCCACAGCGCCAACGCCGTATACTCGCCACCAAAAGCCGAGCCCTCCCTCCGCCTTCGTTGCTGTCCCAAGACCGAATAACGAACGTCCTCGTAAATCTTTCACGGGCCGACGGTGAGAACGCGCATGCACTGCGTGTCCAGTCCGAGTGCGTTTACAGCGCGTTGCGGTCCTAACGCGACGCGCGCGTTTCGCTCGTTAGGCGGAACAAACGGGCCGCACGCGCTAACGGCGAAGCCATGGGGCGGAGGCCCGTCGCTAAAAACCTCTTGTGTAAGCCGGCGTAAGCTGCGGACGGACGGTTATGTATGCACGATGTCGAGAAACGGAGCGTTAAGCGGGCGATGCAGAAAAAAAAATACACGTGCCCGAAGTATATTGCAACTGCCCAACCGAATTAAATTTTCTTCAACCTTGGAAAAACAAATGGAAAATGAACTTTTAGAAGGCACGTGCGCGGGTGTTTATGCGTGCACACTAGGGCACGTGTTGGCAACATCGTGCCTTATGAAAGAACGGTCAGAACGTTGATATCACGGTGTCTACTTATAGGCATTGTACGTACAACTTGATTTTTATACAAGTTGTTTAAGGAGAGGTTCCTGCCAAATACGGCTCCACCTACTTGATTGATTGATTGATTTGTGGGGTTTAACGTCCCGAAACCACCATATGATTACGAGAGACGCCGCAGTGGAGGGCTCCGGAAATTTCGACAACCTGGGGTTCTTTAACGTGCACCCAAATGTGAGTACACGGGCCTACAACATTTTCGCCTCCACCGGAAGTGCAGCCGCCGCAGCCGGAATTTGATCCCGCGACGTGCGGGTCAGCAACAGAGTACCTAGCCACTAGACCACTGTGGCGGGGCTCCGCCTACTTCTCTTACTTAATAGTTTCCAAAGTAATCTATCACGATAAATTGCGGTCAGCAACAGAGTACCTAGCCACTAGACCACTGTGGCGGGGCTCCGCCTACTTCTCTTACTTGATAGTTTCCAAAGTAATCTATCACGATAAATTGCGGTCAGCAACAGAGTACCTAGCCACTAGACCACTGTGGCGGGGCTCCGCCTACTTCTCTTACTTGATAGTTTCCAAAGTAATCTATCACGATAAATTAACGAAACATTTCCGCACAAGACATATCCATTTACAAAACCGATGTTCACACGTCATAAAAACTGCCCACGCGTCAAATTTGCTGCAGTGGCCTTCGAAATCTTGGTTGAAATTGCGACAAGTCTATACCATATAGCAATTGGAGCCCACGGCGGAAGATAATTAAGAAGCGGGTATACGTAAACAAAAGTGATTGTATATGTATTCGCTGAATTACAGCAGCTTTATGCGTTGCTAGATTCACCAAATTGAATGTGGCGGATTAAAATAAACCGGAAGAAGCGAGGTAAATGAGCGAGCACAAGGGAGAAAAAGAGACCATATTCATTAGAAGAAGGCAGAGAGGTAGGTCTCTGTTAGCTTGTGCGCTCTGGCCTGATACTCTGCAGCGCAGGGGAAAAGGGTAAGGAGAAACAAGAGTGATTCGGGTGATGATAAGAGGAGGGCAAGAAGATGATACCTTATAATACTTTATAAGACCACTCAATTATTGGCCGATTGACCACAGTGGGTATGAGCCACAAGTGAAAGGCAACAAGAACAAGATGTGATGCGTATGTGCAGTAACTATGTGGCGCAGTAGCATTCGTTAAGTTTAGTGTATTATCCAGAACTTTTCAGACAGTCTACAAGTGAGGTGTCGTTGACACTGTGTGTTCGGACAGTGCGGACAATAGGTTAGTTTCCAACCGAGTTCTCACGCACACACACATGCCAACTTTGAAGCCAGTGTCTTGTTTTGGGGCACGCATATAGAGCAGTCGTATACAATAGATGTGTTAAAGTCTCACCCACTTGGCAGTGCTAACAGCTCGGCTTGTCCACACGGCCGATAAGGTGCGCACAGCGTCTACTGAATGCGTTGCCCGGTCGACTTCGGTGTAGGAAACCGGCGCGGATTCGGTTTATTTTATGCGAGAGGCGAAGACGAGTCCCGCAGTAGGCTGCAGTCTGGGTTACACCAGTGTAAGCTGTACGTCCTCGCATAGACGATGTCGTCACTTCACTTCACATCACTTCATGAATGCAGAAGTTTTACGCGAATGGCGACGTCATTCACAATGACTTTTGCTGCAGCATCAGATAGTGCGTTGCCTGCCAAGCCACAGTGTCAAAATATCCATAGGAAAGTAAATCGTGTGACCATTCAGTTACGTGAGATCGAGCGTCTGTATTATTTCGGATGCTAATACTGTCCTCTTTTTGAGTAAGAATCAACAATAACGGTA